CTCCCGCCGCGCCCCGCCGCAGCCGGCGGCGCGGGCGCGGGCCCCTGCAGCGTGACGGCGTGGCAGGTGGCGGCGCAGCTGCTGCGGCAGGGCGGCGTGCGGGCGCTGTATGCGGGTGTGGGCGCGGCGACGGTGAGGCTGATACCGATGGCGATCTGCAGCTTCGCGGTTTACGAGGCTATGCGCGTCCTGCTGGTGCAGGTGGGTCCCTGTCAGATGTGCAGGCAGTGAGCGGGACAGGCCACATGGGGGGGATATCGACAGGGGGGGGTCCCTCGCTTCAGGCGCAGGGAAGGTGGGGGGGCACTGGGCAAAGTGAACATCATGGACGAAGATCAAAAGCACGGCCCTCATGCTTGATCATTTTGATTGGAGATGCGATAACAGTGTGCAAGGGGCACCGGGCGCCATTTGAAAGCGGAGGGCAGAGTGCGAAGAGGTTGACTTTGCAACAGAGCGGGCCGCGCGCCCGGCTCGTCAGTGCGCGCCTGATCACACGCCCGCGCCCTCGGCCTCCTTGTTTTCAGGCGGAGCAGCGGTGGGACCGCTTTGTGGCAGAGCAGCAGTTCAAGCAGCTGCACGGCGCTGCGCGGTGCCTGCAGCAGCAGCTCGGCGGCGGCAGGACCGGCAGCGGCGGCGGCCCATGCAGCAGCGGCAGCAGCGGTCGCGGCGTTGGGTCCGAGCGGGCGTCGTCGCAACAACCGGCTGCGCCCGGCGCGGCCGGCGGGGCCGTCTGCCTGCCGTGCATTGTCAGCACGGGCGGGGCGGGGCGCGAGCACGCACTTGTCATCAGCAGCGTCAGCAAATGCGGCAGCACCGCAAGCGGCGCGGCGGCTGCCCCTGCTGTCGGCGGGTGCATCCCCTGCACTGTGCTGCACGCCTCCCCAGCAGATGACGAGCCCTGCGGCAGCAGCCCTGACGACGGCGACAGCAACGCCTGCGACAGCGCGGCGGCGGCGGCTGTTCGCGGCCCCAAAATTGTCGTCACAGGCTCAGCTGGTCGCAAGGGGCCGCCCTAGAGCAAGGCTTGTCCCTCACACACGCCAGGCGCCCATGAGGCTTGTGGACGTCACAGCAGGAATGTTGTACAGTCTTACCAGTCAATCCTTTGACCCCACTCAACAGGCCCCATCCACGTGCAATGCTGCGTGCCTTTACAGATCGTGGCAGCACTGTACTGTTTGCAACGCGGCGCCCACGCCTGCCCTGATATCACCTGCATGCTTGCCGAACCCCTTGGTCGGCACGACAATTGAAGAATGGTGCCAACAGTATCAAGTGATCAGGTCCCTCCTGGGCCCCACGTGCTTGTGGCCGCAGGCCGCTGCACACAAAACCGTGCACACCGTTGCCGCACCTGTGTTTCCTGCACGCATCATCACGCCACCTCCCCTACTAGCATAGCAACGGGCTGGTGGGTTGTGCCCTCACCCCTCGTCGGCAGGCCGTGCCGCGTCGCACTGGTGCTGCCGCATACTATTGCTGTCCACACCCTGTGTGCAGTTGGGCAGTGCTGTGCAACTGTGCAACTTCCAGAGTCTTTCGTACGGCCGGGGGGGGGGGGGCGGAGAGTTAGCGCTGGTGAAGTTTGTGTGTGCTCCAGCAAGCCCAGGAGTTGAGCCACCACATGTGATGCATCGTTTCTCAACTTTCAATGCAAAGCAATAGCAGGCAGAACAATGCCAGGGGTCAAAGTAAGCCAGGTCTACAGGTGATGGCGCGTTTGCGATGTGCTGTTCCTTGCACGTTGGGAAACAAACGGGGCAGGCCGCGTTGTCAGGTGCGGCGCAGCAAGAGTTGCGTTCTTGTGCCCCGTTGAGATCCAGGAGGCAGATGCCCACTGGATTCGACAGGATGAGCTTGAGGCGGCGCAGGGCGATTGATGGCAGCACGTGCCTCTCCATGTCCGGCAGTTGTCGTCGCATGATCAGGGGCCGCGATGTAGCACCTGCAAACCTTATTGTGTGCATTAAGTTGCGAGCACACACCGCACTTGCAGTCCTACGCCCCTCAACCCTCACAGCAGCTTACCAATCGGGCCCCACGATGATGTGGACGAGCACACACCATTTCACATGGGCAATCAACGCAGCAAAACAGTAATGACGCGGCGAACCACTGTGTCGAGCCCGTCTGGGCTAACTTAGTTCTAATGTTATGATATTGGACGCGCAAGCAGTTGCTGAACAGTGCGCGTGCATTATTCACAGCGTGTGACACTCTTTTGGCCCTAGCAGGGCGCAGTGATTTGAGAGTCAGTGACCCCCGCCACGGTGCCCTTCACAAAATTCCGCGGTATTGACCTTAATTCCACAGCGTCACCCGCATAAACGCCGTGTCACCCTGACCTCCGGCCGTGGAAGTGAACGCCGGGCTGGGACGAAGCTAGAGCAGCTGGCGTCCTGATGTGGACGCTCCCGCTCGTCGCAATCAGCGGGTTGCTGCTGGTGCTCGTGCTTCAGGTGGCAGCGGACCCCGCGGCGGCCCCCCCGACGCCCGCAGGTGAGCAGCAGCAGCAGCGTGCAGTGACCCACGGCCGTGACCAAGCCGGCCGTCACGCATCCGCTGCTTGGCGCTGCCACGCCTGTATGCTGATCCAGAGGACGCCATGCATGCGGTGCCGGCGGCCATGAGGTGTCTTGCCAGGGCCCAAAGTGCAGCCCAGTTTGCCCTCAACAGCATGTGCATAACCTCCTGCTCGGCTGCCCCCTGTTCCACAGTCGTCAAGATCGGCAACCCCGGGCGGTTCCGCATCAAGAGTGAGATCCGCTGGTGCTTGCAGCAAATTCAGTGGGCGTGCGCCTCTAGCTGCTTGAGGCATACCCATCTGCCACCCCGTGCGGCCTGCATGCTTCCGTCACGCATGCCGTGCCACACTGCTCACCGCTGTTGCACACTGCTCACCGCTGTTGCGCGTCGAAACCGCCCCCAAACCTCCACACCCGCATGATTTCAACCAACTCCATCCTCGGCAACCGCCGCCGCCGCCACCCCCCCCCCCTTGAATCACCCCCAGGCTACCCCACCCCAGATGACCCCGTCCTCAAGAAGCTGGCCGGCCAGAGCGCGTACGTCACGATCAGCACCAATGAGAAGCCGCTGGTCAAGGTGCCCCAGTCCTTCCTCGGCCTGAGCCTTGATCTGAACGACATCGAGGGCATCGCGCACCCGGACTTTATCGGGATCATCAAGCACCTGGTGGGAGGGGCGGGACGGCAGGGCTGGGGCCAGGCAGATGGGGTGCTGGGGTAGGGTTTCTCAGCGGCGGCCCAGCTGCACAAGGAGGGTCCTGGCGGCACCAGCGGCCCCAGCGGCCAGCGCGGGCATCTTGGAGCAGCCAGCGACAGGGGGTGGTGGCGGGCAGTGCGGGGCCGGCTGGGGCAGTGGCGGCACTATCAGCAGGCGATCAGCAATGCTGCACCCGTGTAATCCACGCTCGCACCTCACTGTAAGGACACCCGACCCTCCCCCATCCCCGCGATCGCCGCAGACGGAGTTCAACACGGGGCCCATGGTGAGCTTGGCGCCGAAATACCTCACCAAACAGCTGCACGGCGCCTTAACCCTAGCCCCTCAGTAACCTAGCACCGCACCCTGGCAGTCCCCGCCCGGCCCGCGACGCCGCCCCGCACTCACTCCGCGTGCGCTCTTGTACGCATCCCAATGGCTGCGCCCGCAGTACATGCGTGTTGGCGCCGAGTCGGCCGACCGGCTGGTGAAGCCGTGGCCAGCCACGGTGTACAAGGCCCTGGCGGACCTGAACAAGGCCACCGGGATGCAGTACATCGTTGGGACCAACCAGGTGCGCGTGGGCGTGCGTGCGTGTGTGTGTGCGTGGCGTGTGTGTCTGTTGTATGTAAATGCGAGTGTAAATGTGTGTGTGTGTTTTGTGGGTCGAAGGCGGGGAGAGAAGGCGCACTGAGGCTGGGGAGGCTGGCAGCCAGGTGTTGTTGATAGTTGGCCAAAATGTGCATGTTGGACAGAGGGCAGGGTGGGTGGGTGCTGCCAGGCCAGGTGCCATTTGCCAGGAATTGGGCGGGGCAGGAGTGTTGAGGCATGCCGCTTGCAGCGGCGGAGGGGCGGTGTCCATGTGTGTTTTGAAGGCCAGGGTGGTGGGGACGAGGCAGGGAATCACAATCAGTGCACAGGAACCACAGACCGCGGGAGGGTTGCAACCCTGCTGCGAGTATATTGGCATGCGCTTGGATGTGGGCTCACCTGATGACTGGGCTGGGTCCAGGTTCTTGATTCCCAAGTGAACCCCAGCAAACCTCAAGATCCTGTAAGGCCCTTTCCGACAAGCTTCCCGCCCCCCCCCCCCCACGCCCTCATCGCCCCGCAGCACGCGGAGGACGCCTCGCTGACGGCATCGCAGGTCACGCGGTCCCTGAAGCTCTTGCCCCAGGGCTCCATCGTCAGTTTCGCGGTCGGCAACGAGCCTGATATGTATTCCCTCCCCCCACGCGCCGGCCTGCCCGGCATCTCGCTCCCCAAGCCCAACAACTGGCTCAGGTGAGAGGCGCATGCGCATGCACGCGCGCTGCAAGATGGGCGGATGAAGGGGGTCAGGCTGCAGCGGCCCCAGTTGCTCAAGCTGCTTTGGGCCAGCCCGTCACGGCATGTGCCAGGCCGCACGCGCTACCCACCCGCAATTGTCGAACCTGAATCGACCACTACAAGACCGCGATCTGAGCCAACCGCGCCACCTGTCGTCGCCACGGGTTCGAATCCTTGCCTCACATCGCAGCACCCGCTGGATACCCGTCTCGAGGATGGTCTACAAGGCGGGATTCCAGGCCGCGGGCAACAAGCGCTTGTTTGGTGGCCCAGACTGGTCTGACTCGACCATGGAGGCCTCGAAGCTCCAGTGGTGGGTGCAGACCACGGCGGCCATTGCCGCCGCGGTCGCCGCCACCGCTGCCGCTGCCGCCGCCGCCGCCGCCGCTGCTGCTGCTGCTGCTGCTGCTGCTGCTGCTACCGCTGCCGCTGCCGCTGCTGCTGCCGCTGCCGCTGCTCCTGATCCGGGGGCGGCGGCAAAAGCGGCCACAGTGGCAATCGAGAGGGTGTTGGTGGTTGCGAGTTGTGCAGCTTGGCACGCTTGGGTCCACAGATGACATCAACCACGAGCTACACTGTTGCCAACGTTCCCCTGTCTTCCAACACCTGATGCGCATTTCATTGTGTGAGGTCACACGCACATGTAGACCATTGCAACTCCTTGTACACCCCCCCCTGCGCCAGGTGGCTGGATGGGGTCAAGGATTACCTCAACATGGTGACAGTCCACCACTACGGTGAGGCCACACATCATGTCACTCAGCACTCTGGAAAGACACACACACACACACACACACACACACACACAGACGCGTGCGCCTACCTGTACGAGCGCATGCACGAACAAATGCACATACACCACCTGTACGCCGCATCATCAGCCACGTGTCCTCCAGCCGCTGCCGAGCCTCGACCGCCCCACTCTCTGGGCAGCAAGGTTTGAATTGCACGACTTTGTCGCCCGCCCTGCCTGCACCGCCCTGCCAGGCGGCAACATTTTGAAGGACACCAGCATCCAGGCGCTGCTAAATGACGCGCGCATGGTACGACCCGCATGACTGTACAGTGGGCCCGCCGGGAGGGCCGGCCTTGCAGAGACGCCTGCCAGGATGCTGGTGGTATTTTATGGAGCAAAGCGACGCAGGGCGGACCCGCCGGCCGCAGCTTTCTCGCTGGCGCCGTCACCCGAGCTTAGCAGCGCCTCGCTGTGCTGGCAACTTGGGAACGCAGGTGAAGAAGATCAGCAACCTCAAGAGCCTGGTCAAAGTCTGCACAGCGAACGGCGGCCTTCCCCTGCGCGTCACGGGTGGGCTGTCCGCGCAGGGATCGCTTAATGGTCGGGGCGCCTGTGTTTTTGGCTGTACTTTCTGCGACGAAAGCCAGGATGCACAGCCAACACGCCATGCACAGCTCGGCTGCGATACATTGCTTTGCAAGGCAGATCCGGCGGCGCCAGCGCCCGACCCGACCCCCATCAAATTCGTACCGCATTTTCGACCGTCGGCTCGCCGCAGAGGCGGCCACTCTGAGCTATGGCGGTGTTATGGGCATCTCTGACACGGCCGGCGCCGCGCTGTGGGCGCTGGACACTGCCCTGGAGGTCGCCTTCACAGGCACCGCGGGCATCCACTTCCACCGTGAGCGCTGCGGCTCCCCACCACACCGCACGAAATTGCGGGCAGATTTGGGCCATCTGTCACGGGGCCGCAAGTTGCAGGAAGGAAAATCTTGAATCCCACCACCACAATTTTCATGATGGAACCCGCAGTTGCATTTTTTGTGCTGGCCTCTGGCATTGCAAGCCGCACCGCGTTGGACTCACTCGATGTCCTCACTGCAACCTCGAATCTCCCCCCCCCTCAGAAGTCCTGACCCGCCAGAGCAACGCAAACTACAATGCCATCTGTGAGCCCCATTGCAGCAGCTCCAGCCATTGTGGGATTATCACTGACTTCGTTGACTGGTGTCGGTTGCTCGCAATGTGTTCAGTTGCTTGCAGTGCGCTTTGACGCTTAGTCCCCCTTGCGCCCCCCCTTGCGCCGTTTTGCGTTGCCAAAGCCAGCCGCATTCGCCCGACACCCCGTTTACATGTGCCGGCTGTAGTTGCAGCCACCTTGCCGCTGGTGCGCTCAGCCAAACACACATGTGCAACTCCACCCCTCCACACGTGCGCGACTGTCAACAACACACACTCACACATACAACCATCCACACACATCTCACTTACCTAACAGACTACCAGGCAGATGCGAACCGCGTGCGCGTCAGGCAGCCGCTCTACGGCTACGTGATGCTCCAGCAGGCCCTCGCCGGCGGCGCCGACGTCATTGGCCGCGCCATCGCCGGCGACTGCAAGGTCTGGCTGCTGAAGGGCCGCGCCAAGGGGGACCTCCGCGCGGTCGTATTGAACAAGGCGGATGGGAAGGAGTGCGCGGCAAACGTGCAGCTCAGCGCCGACCAGCTGCGGCGGTATGCGCCGTCGGGGGACGCCCAGTACATGTACGCCGCCGCCGGCCTGAAGGATAGGTGGAGGATCTACTACTCGGACTCGTTCTTCGACGTTTGGGGCAGCGACAGGCTGCGCACGCCGCAGACGGTGGCGATCCCGCGGTACCTGACCCGCGACGGCAAGGGCAAGGTCACCGGCGGGGGGTTCACCGTCCACCTGACTTCCGGCACGATTGCGGCGCTCGTGACGGTGCCGCCGGCGACGCCCGCGGATCAGAAGGCGTTCGACGCCGCCCGCGCGGCGCCGGCCGCGGCCGCCAAGCCGGCGCCGGCGGCCGCGCCCAAGCCGGCGCCCAAGCAGGGCTGAGCGGCCGTGGGAGGGGGCCAAGGGAGGGGTATAACTTCTGGGGGGTGGGGTGAGTCAGGGCTTGAACTCTGGGCTTGGCTGGTGTGATATGTTCAGCTGTGACCGCAGCGAGCTGCTTGCTTAAACCTTATTCTGCATCCCCTGGGGTTTACTGGCCTGATCTGGGGTTCCGGCGATGGCTGTTATCAGGCACATTTACAGGCTGTCGTCTCACACGCAAGGTGAGGCCCGGGCTTCTTCAGCCTGGCGCCATCCCAGGCGACGGTTTGCCCGCGCCCACACAAGGTGTGCGCTTCGTCCCTTTGGCTTTCAAATCTGAGCTGTGTGTACTGAGCAGCTGCGCCTCAGGTCGCCTTGCGTCTGAGCGCCTGGCCTTCGCTCTCACTTGAAGAGCAAATGAATACCTCAAGCCGGCGGCGTCGCCACCCCAGGCTGCAGCGATGCGCCTGTGCCTGCGGACGGCTGCACCCTCTGCATTCACGCAATGCCCATGGCCGCCGACGGCGCTCGCTTCCAAGCGCCGCTGTTCCAGCAGGCTTGCCATCGCTTCAGGGCACATGTGTGTGCCCACAATCCATATTGAACGTACCACATTACTCATACAGCACCATGTTTGCTTGTGGATCCACCTGCATACAGTATGCTGAAACGCTTTCGCCTTTTCCATGCCTGACGGTGGCGGCGTGTCCCTGCGGCCGAGCGCTCCGCTGGTGCGCCTCTGGGGCCTTGGGCTTTTGGGAGGGAGTGCTGCAAAGCACGCCACCTCGATTTCGCCAACCGCTGCATGGGCCTCGTGGTCGTGCCCGGCGGCGGCCACACACCGGCGGCGGCGGTCGGTGGCGTGCAGGGAGGGCACTTTTATTGATAGCGCGCACCCGAGTAATCCACACGTCTTCAACCAGGATGCGATGCTGTTTCCTGGTCGTGTTTGCGTACGGCTTGGCCCGGCCATTTCAAAGTCAAACGCACAGGCTGAGAGGTCAATATGACGGCGTTCGGCCCAGGCCTCAAGGCTGTCAGCCTCGCGTCTTGCGAGACTTTGCCCCCACCGCTTTCACCGGCACCAGCCGCCGCCCCGCGCCCGCCGCCACCCCCGCACCCCAGCCGCCGGGCCCGAGTCCCGCCGCCGGCGCGCCGCCGCCGCCCGGCACGCCGCCCAGCGCGCCGGGGCCGCTCGCGCCAGGCAGGGACGAGCCCCCCGCAAAGCTGGCGACCCGGCTGAAGCGCCCGCCCGCCGCGGCGGCTGCGGCTGCGGCCTCCGCAGCTGCCACGTAGCAAGCGCCCAGCCGGTCGCCCAGCATGCGGCGCCGCTCCTCAAACTCGGAATCAATGTCTGAGAGCAGCTGCTTATTCAGCTCTGCCAGCCGCACGCCAAGAGGCCCCTGCACGCCGCGGCCTCCCCCGCTACCGCTGCCATCCTCGCTGGCCGCGTCGCCCGCCGCGTCGCCGCTCTCAGGCGAGTCCCGCCCTGCCGCGGCCGCCGCCGCGCCGCGACTGCCCGGCCGTACCTGCGCCCGCCGTGCGCCTGGCCGTGGGCCGCCG